CCGAGAAGTCTCCCAGTGCGCCGAGAGTGTTTTTCGTGTCAGCTTCGTGGCGGGCGCTCTCTGGTCGCACCGCTCGTGAAGCGATGTCCTGCACCGTGCTTCTGCTGCATGTGTGTGTCGAGCGCGCGCCTCCAAGGAGGACGCGTGGTGCTAGCATGTCCTTCGGCGTCCCTTGAGAGGGGAGGTGAAGCAAGGAACGGGACGAGGAAGCAGGATGCCTGCCTTCGTCCCCCATCGCTGCCTCCCTTGTCATCCTGTTCCTCCTTGCCCTCGTCCCCAGTCCCCCGCTTCTCCTTGTCCTCCTCCTCCTCCTCGTCCTCCGCCCTTCTACTCCTCGCCCTCAGCATCCCCCTCCTGTTCGTCCTCCTGCTCCTGCTCCTGCTCTTGCTCCTCCTTCTCCCCCTCCTCCTCCTCGTCCGCGTCCTCCCTCCTCATACTTTACCCCTGCTCCCGCTGATGTTCCCCTCCCACCTCTTTCACCGCTCTTCTTTCTCCTCCCCTGCCCGAGGAGGAGGAGGAAGAGGAGGAGGAGGAGGAGGAAGAGGAGGAAGAGGAGGAGGAGGAGGAGGATTGTGCTAGGATTGTGCTACTTAGGACTTACGCAGATGGAGAGCACTACGCAAGCCGCCTTCGCCGTGCAAGTTTAGACTTACAAGGGCTTCCCTATGGATGGATGGCGGCCCTCCCACAGACGCATCAGTCGACCCTTGGCCGTCCGAGCTCGGGCGGGCCTATAGCCCTCCTTCACAAGGTTCGTCCACTTACACTGAGCGTAGGAAGAGCAACGCCTGCAGAAAACAACATCGGGGCACAACACGAGGTGGTGTCGTTGCCCCTGTGCCTTAAGGATGCGTGCTTGTCGGGCTTTGAATTCGATAGCTTCTGCGCCCGACGGCCCGCTCTGAGTCTGGCTTGTGGCCCTGGGAGAATGACGGTCCCTAGGGCCCACAGGCGGGGAGGGGGGAGGCATCAGAGGAGGAGCAGGATTCGACTCGGCGGCCTGACTCGGGACAGGTCCACTGATGCTGCTCGCTTCGACATCGTAAATCGTATCGACGACCTCGGACGACATAGCGCCGAGCCTGACAGCAAACTCCAGCTCTGCTACCATGGTAAGCTTCTGCTGAGACGCCTGGCGCTGCCAGATCGGGTGGGCGCACAAATTAGCCCCCTCCTTCACGTATTCGTCCGCGAAGCGGTTGCCTTTGAACAGTCCCTCGCCAAACTCTTGCCGCTGGGCTCGAGCGACTTGGGCCTTACGATTTATTATCTGGACGGTCCTGGGGCCCAGCCCTCCAAGATCGTTGACCAGAAACCAAAACTCTCGCCAGAGCACGCTGTGTGCCCTGGCAGGGGACGAGCACCACTCCTCCCCCTTGGATGTTCCGTCTACTGCTGCCTGGCAGTCACAATAGATTTTGAGGGGCGGCCTCGCGCCCCTCAGCACCTGAAGGATAGCGTACGGCTCTGACGGATAAATCCCTTGACGATTTTGAGGCATGGGCAGGGGGCTGAACGCTGAAAAACCACTGCTCTCCCCTGGGGCATCTAAGGTGGGGAAGCTCCACCCCGCACGCCTAAGGGGGACAAGCTCACCGTACAAGAGTGGTCCATCTGTAGAGACCTCTCCTGTGCTGACTCCTGGCTGTTCGCCCTCATGTTGGACCTCGGCCGAGACTGGCAGAACATCCAGCAGTTCTATAGGGTCCTCGGAGATTCCTCTGGCCCAGATGGATTCTAAACCTGGGAACGGGTTTGCTCCTTTCTGCTGCACGTGCCTGCCACCAATACGCCTGCGCATCACGTGACGCGCTCTGCATACATACGTGCGGTGCAAGTCAGTACCTGCAGCATTCATATCAACCAGTGCCAAAACGTGCACCTCGGTCCCGCATGTGACTGTAGCTGGACCCAGGGTGCTGCAAACAAGGCGAATTACAGTTATAATGAACACGCCTGCAGGACCTCTCATTAGGCCCCACGGTCTCAGATGCCCGTGGAGTCGCATGACCCACCAGCGCCAGCTCGTCACCAAGAGGCCGCGCGTGTCCATGTACGTCGCCTCCTGCCCCGCCCTGGGCCTCTCCACGATGGGCCCCGCGTTGGCGTTCACGGCAGGGTCCGCGTCCTCCGCCAGCAGCAGCGGCGCGGCCGACCTTCCCTGAGGAGGAGGAGGAGGAGGAAGAGGAGGAGGAGGAGGAGGAGGAGGAGGAGGAGGAGGAGAAGAACGATCAGGAGATGTCGAGGGTGAGGGCGAGGGCGAGAAGGAGGAGAGAAACAGAAAAGGGGTCGCGCACGAGAACGACGAGAACGAGGTGGAGGAGGATGTGATGGGAGGACGGAGGAGAAGGAGGTCGCGGCCGAGGGCGAGCAGGAGGAAACATGTGGAATAGTGACGAGAAGGAGGAGGAGTAAGGGGAGGAGAATGAGGACGAGGAGGAGGAGGATGAGGAGGAGGAGGAGCAGGGAGGAGGAGGGAGGAGGAGGAGGAGGAGGAGGAGGAGGAGGAGGAGGAGGAGGAGGAGGAGGAGTAGGGGCCGTAGCAATTTTGGCTCAAGTTCAAACGCCACGCTCTGGGTGCCTGAACTTGCCCGCGGCGGATGGGCAGGACCACGACAGGCGACCCTTCCAAGACGTTCCGAGCGGGGGCAGAGACCTTTGTTGCCCTCCACATCCTTTCGCCCCAAGCTCCAAGTCTATTCCCAGCCCAGGCTCTCAGATCCAGAAGCGCCTCTACAGATGGCGCAACGGGCAGCGACTTGGAAGTGCAAGTGCGGGCAGCAGAACTGGCTGAATATCACCAATTGCAGCACGTGCAGCACGCATTGGAAGGCCTCAGCTGGACAAGACCAGAGTGGCACGCCAGACAGACGACGCCAGAGGTCCAACAGTCAGAAGAGTATCCATTCGAGGCCGTGAGAGGACGTCAAATGACCGCCCTTCGTCAGGATGGCCACTCCAGCGGAGGCGCACGCCAACCCCAACTACAAACCTCTGTCTCCCAAGGCCGACGAGAGCGAGAAGAAGTCAGACGACAGAGGGACTCGGTCCAAGCGCAACCTACTCCAGCAGAGGTGCAATATCGTCTGGGCCATGAAGGAACCAGTGCAGGATACCGTCGGTCAGATCGCAGTTTTACCTGGGATGTCGATTTCGGAAAAATCATTGGAACAGCAGGGTGCGTGGACAGAGACTACCGTTGCCAGGATGATGCTACGAGTAGAGGCCGCCAACAAAGCAGTGGAGATCCAACAACAACTCTTGGGACAGAAAAGTATCAATGAGAGACAATCTGCACGATCAACTTGAGGCATTGCGTCGCACCAAGAACGAGCTCCGTGCCATGATGCGGATGGACACCGAGATGAAGCGTGCCGTGCAGGAGGAATCGACATGCCATGCGCCTCCAGCACAGAAAGCAAGAAGTCCAACAGCAGATTGCGTGTCACATTCAACCAGTGGTCCAGCAGATGCAGCGGATGCAACAGCTGATGCAGCATTTGCAGATTTCCAGCAGCCCATGATGCAACACATACCTGAGACTGCGACTGCGGCACCGACATCGCCATGTCCCGCTGCGATCGCAGCCTCATCACCAGACGTGGCCCTGACCCCGGCAGAGCCTTTCGAGCCCATGCCGAGGTCCCAGTCTCAGAAGAGCGCAGCACCACGGTCAAGCCCACTGAGAGAGCCCATGGTACAAGAAAGGGCGGCCAGATACGAGAACAGTTCGGACGGACCCTGCCCATCAGGGGCAAGATCGGGACCCAGAAAGGGGACCGACGACATCGAGGGGCCCGAGCGCGAGGCCACATCGGCAGGTCAGAACGCCCACCTCGCAGAAGAAGCCGGTCAACGATAAGACCAAGATGAATATCAACGGCCTGGCCATGGTACCGTTCGGCAGCCGTCGCCCCAACATGATAAAATGGTGGGCCAGACGAAGGAGGCCAGCAGCAGCCAGGCGGTCGACGTAGCTGTTCCCAGCGACGGGCGCCAAGAGTGCCATGCAGGACCCGCGCGGCGAGCGGAAGACGGTGCGGGCCCAGAATATGAGACAGCGCCTGATGTGGGTAGACAGGCGCATTCATATATGCATATAGACTCTACTGAGCCCCCGCCGCCATCCCTGGTCAGTGCGAGCCCTGGCGACAGGCCAAATCCGCGAGTCGCCTTCAGCGCGACTGTTCCATTTCATGGTGTCGAGTCCCTTTGCCCGCCTCCGCTCCCCCCCCTTCTCTTGATGGGGGTTGCGGCTTGCTGAGTCCTGACTCCAGGGGCAGTTTTAAACCGCGATCGAGGCTCAGTCGTTTTCGACTTCGATTCCAGGGCCCCGATAGTCGCGCCCATCGCGGAGGACGACCCCGCTGCTAACATTGCCTGTAACCTCGGTGAAGAAGGAAGCTCACGCGCACGCCTGATCCAGGGCGGCTGCCAGGTCGTCCTGCGCGCGGAGGTCGACCATACAGATCTCCACCCACTCGCCAATCTAGGCTTCGACATGTGCCCAGTCTGCCAGCATGTGCACGGCCGCGTCGCATTTTTTGTTGTCGGGTCCTTCGTGTTCATGGGCGCTGTTGCAAATCCTTTCTGTGTTTTTGGACCCTGACTCCGCCGATCTGCGTGAGGGGTGCCACCGGGTTTTAAAAAAGTGGCAATCCCCTTGTGTTTTTGAACCCTGACCCCGCCGATCTGCGTGAGGGGTGTCAATTTTTACCCCCCCAGAAGTTCTGAGAATCCATTTTGGTCGTAATAAAATGCCCGTTTTGGGCCTCCCCCCTCGCGCGGTCCATCAACAAGGAGCAGTAAGCAGCAAGAAGTCAACAAGGAACAGTAAGCAGCAATAAGCAGAACTGTAACAGTGGAAAGTGGAAGCTGCAACTGGTACAGGAAACTGCGAACCTTCGGCCTACAGCTTGCTGGCCCCACGAGGGGGCCGGCGGATTTGTGGGGACGACCTCTCGCCACCTCCAGAGAGTTGCGACGAATCGCGACAGCTAGTGATTTGTATCGAGCAGCTCAGCACATCATCTGCATGTGTCTTGTCACGGGAGCTTGTGGGGTATTGAGCACCCTGCGGGCCCTCCAAAATCAGAGGTTCCGAGCTCATGGTGTCTCAAGGATACCAGACATCTCAGGGAGCTTGAAACCCGCGGTTTTTCTGTCAAGCACCTTCTCTTTGATCAATGCACGTTCGGCTCACAATCGACGAAGCCAACACAACTTGTCTCTGGCTATCAACATGCCCAGCCTCGCCCGAAAGATATCGAATCTGCCACGAGGCGGTCGCTGTTGCCACATAGGGGGACACATGACGCCCACTGGCACCGCGGAAGCTCGGCGCACCCAGCAGGCGAAACGGTGCCTTCAGGAACTGTGCGAGCTCTTTGCTAGGCGCTTTGCCTTGCATTGTTGTCAGAAGTGGGATACGGGGGGGGGAGGTCTGCGGCGATGGCACGTCTGATGTGACCCTCCACCTCCCCATCCCGCCCGCTCTGGAGAGTTTCTTTGTCCCCTGGACCCGTGCCATACGTGCGTTGACGAGCAGTGCGGCCAAGAGCTTTGCGGCAGGTGAGCTCTTCTTTTGTTGTGAATTGAAATGTGGCCATGGAACAGAACAGGAGGAGTATGAGGAGTAGGCGGAGGAGGAGGAGGAGGAGGAGGAGGAGGAGGAGGAGGAGGAGGAGGAGGAGGAGGAGGAGGAGGTGGAGGAGGAGTGGAGCTGGAGGAGGGAGGAGGAGGAGGAGGAGGAGGAGGAGGAGGCGGAGGAGGAGGAGGAGGAGGAGGAGGAGGACGAGGAGGAGGAGGAGGAGGAGGAGGAGGAGGAGGAGGAGGGAGAAGAAAAAGAGTAGGCAGAGGAGGACAAGGAAGACGGCCAGGACGTGGGCGAGGAAGAGTAGGAGGATGGCGAGGACGGAGGACGGAGGAGGAGGGCGAGGAGGAGGAGGAGGAGGAGGAGGGCGAGGACGGAGGACCGAGGAGGGCGAGGAAGAGGAAGAGGAGGGGAGGATGAGGAGGAGGAGGAGGAGGAGGAGGAAGTGGATATGGATATGGATATGGATATGGATATGGATATGGATATGGATATGGAGGAGGAGGATGAGGAGGAGGAGGCAGAGGAGGAGGAGGAGGAAGAGGAGGGGCAGGGCGAGGAACAGGCGGGGATTCAGGGAGGCGTGAGAGGAGGGAGGGGGGAAGATCATGAGCAGGAGGAGGAGGAGGAGGAGGAGGAGGAGGAGGAGGAGGAGGAGGAGGAGGGTGAGGAAGAATCTCCGCCGCCGGTGGCCAGGGGCCTCAGCGAGGCGATCAAGAACATGAAGTGAGAACCTTGCGCGCTTCTGGGGAATAAATAGGAGGCAGCTGCGAGTGGTCCTGGGGGGCGAGGGGGGAAACCACGGAGGAGGGTGAGACGGAAGGGGCGGTGTAGGAAGAGATTTGACCTGGAAGCGCAGTGAGGCGAGGGGATCAAGAGGTGGACCAGACGTGGAGCGTCGGCATGCTGCGCGCGCCTGGTCTCAGTGCTCATGCGTCGCCTTGCGCGCGCCCTCACATTTTCCCTGCAATTAGAGTTGTGATGGTCTGTGTGAGGATCGCTCGCCCTGCGGACTCCACTGCCTCTCCGGTGCCACCCGCTCCACCCCCCACAATCGACGCTCGCCAGTGACCGAAATGGCTGTAGCTCGCAGTCCATTGCGTAGCTCGCTGGTGCCAGTTCCGGCCCGCATCCTGCCGCATCTTTCAGGGCGTTGCACGGTCGGCCTTGACGGGACAGTGTCGGGGAATGCTGTGCACGTTCAGAAAAGGATGCAGGCTGGGCTTCGCTCTTTGTTTGAGACCTCCATACCTGCAACCCTTCTCCTGTCCTGTAGATGCGAGAATGCTCCAGCAGTGCACCCATGCAGGGCTGCAGCCTGTCGTTCCCAGAATGTACGCTCTCGCCTCTGCGCCGCGCTCTCCCGTCTTACAGTCATGGTCCTGCGTGGTTTCGGGCCCTGCGAAACCGAAGCCGTTGACACGCTAAGCAGCGCAGGGGCGCACACGCTAAGTATGGTCGGGCGGAACAGCCTTCCGGTATACACGGTAAGTGCTAACCCCGCAGGATACACGCGAAGTGCGGATCATTTTGCGTGTGTAGGCGTATTCCCAACTACACGCTACGAGTAGGACCATGGCCGTAACAGTTTACAGCAATTGTGCGGTCGGAGGCCGGTGCGTGTTGACAATGCGGCTCTCGCCCGATTCGCCAGATGGAGGGCAGATTTTTTTTGTTCACGAGGGTGCTGCTGCCCGAGACTCGGTTGATCCTTTGCAAAGCGGTCTGTCGTTTGGCACATTCTTGAGCTTGAAACCAACAGTGGAAACCCATGCCAAGAAACACCCTGCTTGCCTCCAGGGTGCCCTGGGTTTCTCGGGTTTCGATGGCTCTGCTATGGAGAGCGTGGCGCTCCCACAGCAAAACTCAGTGGACGTCCTGGGGTCTCAGGGTCGGGTCTCTTGGGGCAGGTCTCCTGTGGTCGAGCTCCCGATTCCTGATTCCTGTCGGCACTGGTGTGCTTCGAACGCTGCCGCTTCCCCCAGGGTTGGCCCCAAGACAGCTCTGGGGGAGCACAGTCAAAAACCCTAATAAGGACGCGCGACTTTGCTCGGGGTACCCTTGCGTCCTTGCTTTTCCTTGCTCTTGCGTCCCTGGGGTTTTCGTCGTCCGCCGCCTCAAAAAATCCCAACTTCGGCTTCCAAGGGTCTTGCGTCCTTACCGCGCGTCCTTATTAGGGTTTTTGACTGAAGAGTATAAGCGTGGAGGGAGGTGGCGGGGGTGCCACTGGCCGTGGACGGTGGCCCGCCACGCTCGCCAAGAGGGAAGGCGGAGGGGCCTCCTCCCCCTGCACGGAGGACTTGGCATCGCTCGGACGTGTGCATTTTTCTTTCGGCGAGGACCATTGAGCAGCATCCTTGATCATTTGGCGAAAAACCGCGCACGAAACCGAGAAAAACACAGGAAATGGACGTCCGAGCGATGGCCAGAGGAAGTCCCCCAAAGTGACCCCCATCCCCACGGCCGGTACCCTCCCCTGCAGGCAAGAGGAGGATGCCCAGACCGCGGAGGTGGGGGCCAGTTGGGGGATTTCCACCGTGCTCGGGGGAGGTTTCTGCCTTCCACGGCGGCGGCACGGTGGCAGTGGTGCTCCTCCTCCTCCTTCTCCTCCTCTTCCTCCTCCTCGTCCTCCTCCTCCTCCTCCTCCTCCTCCTCCTGCTCTCTGGTCTCCCCCCCTGTCGCACTCCGTAGCCATTTTGGCTCAAGTCCGTAGCGTGAAGGCTCCCAGGGACTTCGGTTTGGCGTGGAGATACCGCGGCCCCGACTGCTTACGCACGGTATGGAGGTTCCATCCCTCACTGCTTTGCCATCGCACTCACATTTGCTATCCGATGGCCAATCGCGCTGCTCGTGTCAACGAGCGCCAAGATTGGCATTGTCGTTCTTGTCTTAATCCGCGGACTCGGCTTAAGCTGGTCACTTGGGGCTCCAACCTCAAGTGTCATGGCTGCAGGCTCGACAAGTCCGTTGTCTACTGGGGCCCTGCGTCGGACGGCTCCGAGCCCAGCACGCGTGTTCGGCAGCCATGGGCTCAACATCTGCATCAGTGCCGCCTGGCCATGGGCATACGGGGGAGCTGGTAGCAAAAGCAAGACCGAGAAGGCGCTGCAGGCTGCCCTGGCCGAGCTGGAGCAGCTCCGCAAGCAGGCGCAGCCACAATCAGGCTCTCGTGTCCCTGGGTCCTCAGCCATGGTCGTCGACCTCGAGGCGGGGGGGTGGCAGCGAAGGTGAGGCTCAGCTGGCGGCCGAGGTCAAGGCCTTGGAGGCGAACGTCGCCATCGCCAAGCAGGGGCAGGGAATCTGGGCTGAGGAGCAGCCGCGCGTGCTCGGGGAGAAGCTGGCGTCCGCCATAAAGAAGCTTCACGACTCCAAGCCGCTGCGCACCCCACGCCCTGGCCAATAGGGTCAAGGCTGGCGCGGCCAATGTCGCAGAGGCCGAGGCCGCGCAGAAGAAGGCCACTGAGGAGCTGGCGCGGGCGCAGGCTGCGGTCGAGGAGGCTGAGAAGAATCTGGAGCAGCTGCAGCGGCAGCAGGTGGAGCTTGAAGGTGAGCTCGGGCAGGACCATGCCTCGCTTGGACGCGCGCCCGAGCCCGCGCTGCAGGCGGCCGTCATCTTGCCGTTACTGGGCGCCTCCACGGAGGACCTGGAGAAGATCGTGCAGAAACTTGCGGAGGGCTCCAACCTCAGTGGTGATGCGACGAAGCGGCTCATGGACGGTGTTGGAGGCAATATTGCCCAGCTCGTCGCGGCCGAGCGTCCGCGGGTGCAAGAAGGCGCGTCCCATGAGCTTGCGGGTGTTCCTGCAGCTGGTGCTGGCGTCAGTGCTGGGCCTTCTGAGGCTAAACCATGGTCGCCTGACGAGAGGGACGACAAGGAGCTAGATAGCATCACGCAGCCGTTCGGCACCTTCGGGTCTGCGAAGGTCATGCGGGACAGTGCGAGGCTACTCGCGAAGGGTGGTTATCGGCTGTTCGAATGCAGTGATCTGGGTTGCGCTGTTATATGTATTTTTTTGCAATGAGAGAAGGCTCTATCATGACAGTGGATGCGGCGTCTTGAGGCTCCGATGCTGTGTGCTTGGGAGCTGTTCCTGACGGTGCCATGGTGATTGCCCTCCAGGAGCACCACATCCTTGTCAAGGATCAGCTCGCTAGTTTCTAGACGGAAGTTGGGGACTTCGGCTTCGAGGGTACGTGGGCGCCAGCCGTGTGGTGCTTCCGAGGCACGGACTTCTGCTGGGGTCGCTGTTCTGGCTCGTATTTCGGTTGCCGTGGCAGCGCCGCCTTTCCTCGTGGATGCGGTGCTGGTTCCTGGGTGTCTGGTCGCAGCGCGCGTTCGCTGGGGCGTGAAGCGCGGCATCGTTGCGTTGTCAATCTATCTTGTCGGCTCCGTTGGCATGGGTGAATACTTGGGGCCTCCCGGGCGCCTCTTGGGGTCATCTAGGAGGCCATCGATCAAACAACAGGGGACTCAATAAGCGCACCCCCCAGCCCCCGACATCGTTTCTTGGGGCGCTCTTGGGGCGCTCTTGTCGCGCTCATGGGCGCTCTTGGGGCCGTCTTGGGGCTATCTTGGGCCTCCCTTGGGGCCCTGTTGGCCCATCTTGGAGCCGTCTTGAAGCCTCGGATGGCCATCGGACGCGAAAAGGCGAGAACGCAAACAACTTTGATCTTTCTTAGGTCTTGGCTTCCTTAGCCTCTTCGGGGCTTCCTTGGGGAGCTCTTTGGCCACTTGGAGCCGTCTTGGAGCTTTCTTAGGGCATCTTGGAGCATGTTGGGAGCCATCTCGAGGCATCTTGCGCTATTTCGATCCATCTTGGAGGCCATCTTGGGCTCTCCGACGCCGTCCTGGAGCCGTCTTGGGCCATTTTGGATGCCCCGACCGCTCGCGACCCCCCCCGTCCAGGCCCAGGGGAGGGGGAGGGGTCAAGCCACCCACCCGCCCGCAGGCCGTTTAGCTCACTCCCACCGGCCTTCCCTACACATAAGTAACACCCGAGCCTGAGCATGTTCAGCGGTCGTTTTTGGATGGACAGCTACTGGGAACCAAAGCCGACCCTTGGTGCGCGACGCTTGGGCGAGGTGCGCCACGCGTGCCAGGGGCGCCACGCGAGCCAGGCACCCCTGGGGCACGAACGTGCCAGGCACGCCTGGTGCGCCAGATGCGTCACGTGCTCCGAATGCGCCAGGTGCGCCGCGCACTCCCGCCGCGCAGGTGCGCCATGCTCTGGGCACGTGCAGAGTGCGTCAGGTTCGCCTGCGCACGCGACAGCACGCACAGGGAAACATATCGGCCCCCGCCATCCTTGTTGAAAACCAATGCCCATCGCTGTGTCTGGTGGGCCTGCTCATAGTAGGCCACGCGCCACCACCCCCGCGGTCCCTGCCAAAAGCAATTTGACGGTGATCGCGGGATGGCCGCGCATGATCCGTATTTCGCCGCGAGGTGCATGTTGAATTTTTTTGTCAGGGGATGTAGCCTTGCGCACGGCAGGGAATACATTGGCACCCCCCGCCGTCCCTGTCAAAAAAAGGCCCTGAATTTACCTAGCGTTCCACACACCAATCACTGTCTTACAGGCGGTGGCTATCCTCGTTTGGGTGGCTCCGAGGTGGCGACCACCAACGCTGTAGAGGATTGGGTAAAGGCCCGTCGAGGCTGCCAGATATGTTGCCTCCGATGTCGAGCCTTACTGCGGCGTGCCCTGTCCGCATGCAATATTGCACGTTCTGGTCGGGCCCCGACTCACCCAGACAAACGTACCCCGTGTCGAGCCGGCCGCTGCGAGGGAGGCGGGACCGGTTTGGCTGCGCCGTCGGGTACGGCTTCGGCCACTGGAGCTCAGGAATGACGAACAGGCATTTGGCACATCCTGGTCGTATTCTGAAGCATCCTGGCCTTCTCCGATGTGTTCGTCAATATCGAGGCTGCGCGAGAACTGCCGCTGGCCGTCGCACTCGAAGAGACAGTGGCTTCTGGCGCCTGGACATTGCTTGTACCACTGGCACTTTGGGGTTGCCATCTTGCGGCCGGGAACATGCTCATACTGCGTGAAGAAGCCTCCTGGCACAGCAATGGCGATGCGGCCAGCGGAATAATCCTTTACCATGAGCGCGGAGATCCTGGCACATTGAAACCAATGGCTCTAGACACGGCGGCCCCGCGAGGCCCTCGATCTTGCAATCGGGGTCTCCAAGGCCTTTTGATGCGGTTCCTCTGGGTGCTCTGCTTAATGGCCGACTTGCAGGTGCGTTTACCGTAGTACCTGCCCGTAATCCCAATAGTGGACGGCCCTAACCAATCGTTGAAAGGGTACATAATACCGCACCAGCACGCCACTGAACGCGTTGTCAACTACGTTCAGGCAGAGCTTTACCATTTTCGAAGCGAGCTCGCACCTTGCAGCTCGGGCGCCCATGGCTGCTGGAGTGCCATGAACCGCGTCGCGATGGGTCCTGCATTCGCGGCGTATTCTGGATCAACACAATCATCAGGACCGAGCAACAACTCCAATGCCCTTGACCATCCTTTCGTTGCCCCGAACATGGCTCGGGCCATCATAGCCCTCAGCTCCACCAGCTTCTTACTCGCGAGTCCGATGATGGATGTCCCACAGAGCGCGGTTGGGAGAGCCCAAACCTTCTTGACCTTGGTGCCCCCTTTGAGCTTGCTCTTGAGGCCTCTGAACCGACGAAGACGAGGTCGAAGCTTGCGAAGCCGATCGGCTAGCACTCTGGTATCTCTCTGGCCCTTCTTGAAATCGATCCCGAGGTTCTTGCCTCCTCTTTTGATGTTAATATCCCACTTCTGTAGTCGTCGTTTGATAGTGTTGGCCACCTCAGGGAGCGTCGAAATGATCATGCCCTTCTCCTTAGAAACAACCAGCTGCAGTCGCTGGAGGTGTGGTGTACACAGAAAAGGAACCGCACTGCCAATGAGGTCCCCTAGCTTATCTGCAACCAGGGAATCGAAGTGCGTTGAATGTTCGACGATGTTGAGTAGCCGAACGCTCGGCCAATGCAATCGTGCTGTGTCGCAAGGGACTAGCATGATCAGCTTCATTACCGATATTGCGAACGAGCATCCTGCGATGTTACCCCCTCCGACCTCGATCGCATTCGAGACCATGTTGATGGGCAAGTTCCACCACCACCATACGTTGGAGAGGGAGGGGGCCCTCCTCCTCCTCCTCCTCGTCGTCCTCCTCTTTGTCCTCTTCCTCCTCGTCCTCCTCCTTCCCCCCTCCAACTCATGGTGGTGGTGGTGCTGGTGGAAAACAGGCCCATCACGTGTGGACAAACTGCAGGAGCTTCGCAGCGCGATGCTGCCCGAGCAGCGGCCTTGGCCGTCCCTGCCCCTCAGGAGGGAAGGAGAAACACAGACACAATCGATCGCCGACTCCCAGGAAAATCTGGGGACGTGTGGGGGAAGTGGGGGGGAAGACAAGCAAAAAACCAGAAAGTACGGGAAGCTATGGGGAACCCCGTCATTCGGGTGTCTCTGGTTGCGTGTCCCAGGGCCCCCTCCACCTCCCCAGAGGAGCTCCGACGAGACGTGGGGCGGCGTCGGACGAGAGAATATGGGAACATCTGGGAAGTGGGGGGGAAGACAAGCAAAAAACCAGAAGGTATGGGAAACTGTGGGGAACCCTGTCCTTCGTGTGTATCTATTTGCGTGTCCCAGGGCCCCCTCCACCTCCCCAGAGGAGCTCCGACGAGACGTGGTTGGCGTCAGGCTCGGCAGAGGAGGCGGCTCCGGCAGGCGCGCGCCGTGCCGACGCGGCTGCGCCCCCGCCGCTCCAAGCGTTCCGCGTGGCGTCGGCATCCCCCCCAGGCGCCGGGCGCCCAAAGCACCTCCTGCGCAATTCTTTCTGGGGTGCCGGCGGCGTGGCGCCCAAAGCACCTCAAGCGTTCCGCGTGGCGTCGGCGTCCCCCTCAGCGCCGGGCGCCCAGGCGCCTCCTGCGCAATTCTTTCTGGGGTGCCGAGGCAGCTCCTGGGCAACCTGACAGGGCCACTCTGCAGCTCCCGCGCGGCTCCTGCACCCTGGGCGATGCGGAAGGAGTCTTGCGTTTTCGGCCAGAGTCTCGATTGTTCTTGATGTTTTAATCTAAATCCTAAGCTTCTCATGGACATTCTCGTTTTTTATTCAAATTCTGAGACTATGAATTTCTTAACCCATGATTTCTTACGCATTTCGCAGGGTGTATGCCGAGACAGCTCCCAGGCAACTTGTTACGGCCATCCTGCAGCTCCCGCGCGGCTCTCCTGAGCAGCTCGCGTGCAGCGCCCTGTCAGGAGCCGTCGGCGCCACAGCGCGCACCTGTAAGCCAGTGCGTTGTTATCCCAGTTTCGGCGTCACCCCCACATACTTTGTGCCCGTCGCCCCCCCAGGGGCGACGCGCGCACCCAGAAATCTTCTAGTGTGTGCGTCGTGGCGGGCGCTTTCTGGCCACACCGCTCGTGAAACGATGTACTGCAAGATGGGTATACTGGATGTTCGGGTCGGACGCGCGCCTCCTGGGCGGACATGTAGTACTAGTATGTCTCTGTGCGTCCCATGGAAAGCCTGCGGCGGCCCTGAATTGTTCGATACTGAACGATCCAGCGTTTCGGAAACGGCCGATCTGTCAAGGTTGAACGATCCCCGCGGTGTCAGAAACCAGCGCCGAAATCGGCAGCACACGAACCTGCCGTACCGATATCGCTGACCGTCTTGGAGGGCTCTCAATCGCCGCGGCTGGTTTCTCTTCGAGATCCTTGTCAAAGCGTGCCCTGGGGAGAGGTCTCGGAAGTAGTGGTATGGTGTTTTTGTTCCCCGAATGTCGAGCCGACCGATTCCATGCGATATTGACTTCGGCCAGCCCCATCCGATTCGATTTTGATGTTCAGACGGTCCAGTGCGGCTCGACGCTTGCATGGCGCTGTTGCGAATGCTGGGGCTCCCGATTCGATTCGATTCCGACTCCGTGCTCCGTGCCGATGCGGCTCGATTTGACGCGCGGCGCGACCCGATCGGATCTACCGATTCGATGTCGGTCGTTCCTGCCCAGGGTCAAGGCGCCTCCGGGCACTCCCGACGGCGGATGTGCCAGGTCGCCCACAGGGGCGCGAGGAACAGTCGCTCCAAGACGTCATGGGCCACGCCTCTTTCGGGGGGGCGGATGCAGCGACCCCCAATCGCCCATGCATGGATCGCCGATGGGGGCCGGGCAGCCCACCCTGCCCAGGAAGGTGCGGATTCGCTATGGAGGGCCCGTCGCCGATCTATCGGCGACGTATCGCCCGATTCTGGCTCGATCTTCTCTCCCCGAGCCGGTCCCCCCCTAACGCTGCTCCCAAGACGGTACGGCGAGAGCGCGCAGCTGACCGAGCGCCGCTCATAGTGGGGCGCGCAGGGCGGAGGTAG